CCCTAAACCCTAAACCGATGCCCTAAACCTTAAACCCTAAACTAAACCTAAACCCCTAGACCTCAGATCCCAAATCCTAAACCTCTTAACCCCAAGATCGATTTCGTAGGGCGGCGCCGAAGGCTTCGGGATCTGCCACATACCCTTACAGCCCCCCATACAGCTGCAATAGTATGGTTACCCCGAAACACTATTCTGGTTTTTCTGGCCTCGATATGATAAGGGTTGCTGCAGGGTTTACTCCAATGCTTTCCGCCTCTGTAACTCGCAGGGTCCAAGCACACAAGCACGCGATACTTCGGTTCAGGTATTTGGGAGGCTAGACCCTAAACCTAACAGCGCGAAACCCCGAGCTTAAGGTATGGGGTACTTGGGCCCTTTGAGTAATATAGGGGCCTTAATAAGTAGAATAGGGTTTTGGGGCCACTATATGCTATAATTATAATAAGGACCCCCCCCCCCGAAATAGTCTTGGTAATTATTTAGACCCCTATATTAGGGTGTTTTTCTTCCGGGCTGGGACAGTTGCAGTCCCTGTGTTGGACTGCAAGGTGTCCCACTACCAGGACATGATGAAGGCCTGTGGTTCTGGCGGGGCCGTGGGCTTTATAGGTTTGTACCCTAAACCCTACACCTAAACGCTAAACCCTAAACCCTAAACCCTAAACCATAAACCCTACATCTAACCCATGAGCCCTAAACCCTTATTCTTGTAAATATGGAGGGCTGAGGCCTTTGTTCCGTGGGTCCACGGTCTCCAGGCTTTTCTGTTGAGAGCTGAAGTTTAAGTGGGATGTTCCGGGCTTTGCGGCTCAAGGCGCAGTGGTCCACCGTCAGTCGTCATCGTCTTGCGGCCGGCAGCAGCAGCAGCAATAGCATCTGCAGTCATCTAGACAACCCCATCCACCGCCTCACCTTTTTTGATGGTTCTTGGTTCCTTACCGTTTCCATGACGAGCATGGCGACCATGGTGATGATGGTGAAGATGCGGATGATGCTGAAGATCATGCTGATGCTGATGATCTGTTCCGCTGTTGACGATCACGCTGATGTTAATTCTTCCCTAGCCATGCAGCTAACGACCAGTAGCTTGCGATCCATAACCCCCTAACCCCCTAAACCCTATAGGCCCTATAAACCCTATAAACCCTAAACCCTACAAACCCTATAAACCCCATAAACCCTATAAACCCTAAACCCTGAACCCTAAACCCTTAACCCTATAAGCCCTATATATAAGCCCTACAAACCCTATAAACCCCATAATCCCTACAAGCCCTACAAGCCCTATAAGCCCTATAAGCCCTAAAGCGAAAGCCTGAGACCTGGCAAGGGGCGCCTCGAGCGACTGGGAGCTGGGGCGCAGCGCTTCAAGACGACGGCGAGCCCCGCCGAGGCGGTCAAAGATGCAGCCGGGAACCCGGCTCAGGTTTGTTAGGGTTTAGGGTTTGTTAGGGTTAAGGGTTTGTTTGGGTTAAGGGTTTGTTTGGGTTTAGGGTTTGTTTGGGTTTAGGGGTTTGCCGGGTGCAGCCCTTAATTAAGCCCATCTCTTGGGAGGGTGGGGTTTTCAGGTTTGGGTCATTTCGGTGTTTGGCGATTACTTGGTTCAATTGGTGCATGGCTTGAGGCTGAACGTGTTGATGGGTCTAGAATGATAAGAGGCGGTCGCAGAACGGATGGCCAGTTTTTTCAGCTTCCATTTAATTTCGGTGGTTTGTGGTTGTTCATGTGGCTCCGCGCTTGTCCGCTTGTCTTGGTTGTTGGTGGTCTGAGGTTTTGTGCGTTTTGTACCTTCGTAGTGCCTAGCTGCTGAGGCTCCTGAAATACCATTTGTGCTTACATGTTCAATCATGAGTTCCCTGAGCCATTGAAGCCGATGGTCTGACCTGGGGGGTTTGGGTCATGCCCATATCATGCCGTATGTACCAGGCAAGAGGTAAGGCCGGACAGCGTCGAACAAGACTCTAAACCCTAAACTCCCCAATTGTTTGGAGGGCCCTGAGAAAACTGCTAGTAGATTCCAACTTCTGCTTCTGGCTCTTCGTATACTAAAAGGTATTGGATTGCTATTTTGAGGTTTAGGTTTTAGTGTCCATTGCTATGCGTTTCTTTAGTGCGAATGGTCTGCTTGTATTGTTGTATATGGGCGGTTCAGGAAAAAGGCACAACATAACACCTCAATACAGTTTTAAACTCATGATGGCTTTTGCACGCCAAAGTACAACAGTGTACGTACCCCTCAAGAACCCAGTCTGGAGTCTAAAATAAGAGGTAGCGGAATACGTAGTAATGTAACCCATTATGGTTCTTGCATAATTTATACTTCAACAGACCCCAAACTTTAAAACTTTGTCCCCCATTACTGTGGCCTCCATATTGGTGCTTTGCTTCCTTGCAACCTACGTTAAGAAACTCCATTTGTGAGAAGAGGCTGGTGGCCACAAAGCTCGAGTGGCACCGCTACGCTGCCTACACCCGACCTACAACCCCAGACCCAGGACCTATAATTTGTGATGGCTACGAGTATTATGAAAGAGTCTGAAAACGTGACCATGGTTCTAGTGTCTCGACTCTACCAATCTTCATGTCATCAGCTGCCGTTGTTACCATCCCGCTGGAAGGGCGAGATTTGGCTGGATAGTGTTCGGCCTGGCAACGTCTACTTTGCCGCTAGATGCACCAATCTGCATCGAGGCTGTCGGCACAGGGCCCGAAGCCATACGTGCGAGACAGAACGAGAAACGGTGCTCAGAAACAAGAAACCGTGGACATCTCGGTGAAGGCTTTGCGAGACAGAACCAGAAGAGGAGCTCGGAAAGAAGAAACCTTGAATAACTCGGTGAAGCCTCCGAACACGAGCCCCTGTGGAGGAACAGGATTTGGCAGTGGCGCATAGTGTGGTGCAGTTCTATGAGGGCTTTGGTGAGTGTATATAGGGTTCCTCAGGGATTGGGAGATTGCATGTTCTTGGTGTCCTCACGGGTGTACTACTGGTAGTAAGAATAAGCCTTCTTTCCCACATGTGCCGTCCTAAGGTTCTCAAGTACCACACTGCCTGTGAAAAGCTGCTTGGCAACCTTATCGGAGCCTACAGGAACAGAAAAGCAACGCCCTTCTTCGGCGAAAGGACTTGCCTGCTACCCCGAGCTCGTACAATCCGAAAGCCCCAAACCCCGAGCGGTATTAAAGCTAAACCCCGACACCCTGAATCCAATACCGTCCGGGCTTCTTCG